GTCTGTCCGGAGGAAGAGGTATTGGGGCCTCCCTCCCTGGGTGGGTCTCGGGGAACAGGGGTACCTATTTGGGTCAGCCGGGGAGCTGACACCCTTGGGGGACATTTTCCTCCCTCACTCAGTTTTCTTCACATACCTCACCACATTCCTTCACACTCTTCATTTCAACTCCACTCATGTAGGTCTTTTGGGGTGCAGGTGCTTACAAGGAGCAATAACTTTACATCTCCATTTGCCATTTCCACCTGGGTCCCAATTTTATTATAGACTCTAGACATTCACTTATAACATTCTCATGACATTCACATATAGGGCCTTGGGGGTGGGCACTCTCATGGCACGCAGGAGGTGAGGTGACAGTCAGTTTCGCCACTGATGCCTGTGCCCACTCTCAATGGTTGCTTGTAGAGATTTAGGGTTTAGGGCTAGAACTGGGGACTGGCAATGTGCCAGCCTCTGCCCCTTCTTCACCATTTTAATTGCACCATAAAACAACACGCATTAACTGCACATCAGAGGGTGGAGGTGTGTGTGTATGGGTCTTGTTCACTCCCCCTTTCCCTGTTTGCCATTTGGGGCTAGGGTCCGAAGGAGGGGCAGACTGTCTGGTGGGGGTCCTGGGCTGTGGGTGCTCTTGGGGCATGGGGGGTGGGGTAGCCAGGGATGGGGCTGGCATTCCGGCTCCCCTGGGGCTGTTTGAATTCTCAGATCATGACTCCTGGATGCCATGATTGGCCCTCTGGCCTGAGTTCCCACCAGAGTCCAGCGGGTGGTCGGCTGGGGGTTTGCACTTGGCCGTTGGCGGTGTATGGGGTGGTTTGGGGCACGGCTTCGCCTTTTCTCTTCTTTGTTTACTTTTTCCATCTTTGTGTCTATTCTGAATTAATCCCAAAAGAATTTATAATAAAGTTTTCAATATATATCAAGTGGAGCATCATGGTGAAGTTTGATTATGCTGCACTTGTGAAAGTAAAACTGTTGGGCTTCATTTGGACACTCAGACATCAATTTTGAGTTTCACATTGCTGGACACAACACAGTAAAAAAAACTATCAGATGTTTCTGTGGATTCTCAGTTAACCAGAGGCCTATTTCACAAAAGTCAGATTTCTAAATTCAGAATATCAGCTGTAAACTGAGTACTGCATTCAGCCTGTCTATGTTATCATTTAGACCAAAGTTGAGGTCACCTCCAAGAACTAGTGAGCAATCAAGGTGATCTGATAGTGCAGAAAAGAAATCATGAAAAAATGAGACGTCATCAATATTTGTGCCATATAAGCTAACGCTACAGAATTTTTAATTATGTATAGATCAT